ATATTCTGGGAATTTACATGCACTTTATAAATGTACCAAAAAATAACTCTGTAAGTGCTCTAAGCACTGCTTGGCATACAATGAGCACTCAAATGCTAGCAATTACATTATCACTTATTTTGCAACTATTATTCATATGTGAAAACCACTGCTCTAGAAATACACTTATACTCATATATTTCTCCTATCTTGTTTTTTTGCCTTATTTTTCTTAATTTTGCCTTATGAGAATTACAGTCAATTTTCAGAAAAATCCAGATGTTTTAAGTTTATGTGCACATACCTGTATATTATAGCTGTGTATTGGTGGGCATTTGTGATATATATATATATATATATATATATATATATATATATATATATATACATATATATATATATATATAAATCTACTCACACAAAGAGACAATTGATAACTTGTCTCTTGACTCACTGAAAAAATAAAAGTTTTCTTGCATTATCATATTATTAGAAACCTATATGAAAAACATACATAACATACTAGAAGATACAAACTTTCATTAGAATGTTTATTCAACACAAGCAAGGAAAGAAGTTTTAATGTTTTAAAAATACTGCAATGCACAAAATGTATGAGTATGTGTGTGCATATGTATATAATCATATATCCCCCACTTTTAAATCATACACAGCAGGAAGTTCAAGAGTTTAAGTCTCCTCTCTACCCATTCATTCAAGGTATATACCTTTTCCAATAATTTCTTTTTTTACAAAGATCTGTCAATATAAAAAGTTTTCAAACATTAAACTGAGATATGAATATAGAATTTAAAATTATCAAACGTGATGATCATTATTATCCAAAGTACATGTATGAAGACACAAATTGGTGTGAGTATACTATGTATGCAACCAGAGATATGAAAAATTGAGCTCTGTATATGTAATAAGAATTGTAATGCATTCTGCTGTTATATATAAATAAAAATAAATAAATAAATATTTTTTTAATTAACCATCTAAAAATATCATCAGTAGTTTTTCTGGTCAGTATGTGTAGCTCTATCTCATGAAGAAAGTGTGATGATGCTATATAAATTACAGAACAAACCTCTGTTATAAAAAAGAATAACAATAGCTAGTATTTACTTTATGCTGAGCACTATTCAGGGAACTTCACATGTATTAACTAATTTAATCTTTATAAACAAACCTATGAGATAGATATCACTCTTATCTACATTTGACAGATGGTTGAATAATTTGCCAAGGTATTATGGTTTTGATGTGAGGTGTCCCCTCAAAAGCTTGCATGGGAGATAATGCAAGAGGTTCAAAGGAGAAATGATTGGGTTGTGAGAGTCTTAACCTAATCAGTGTTTTAATCCCCTGATAGGAATTGAGTAGTAACTGAAGTGGTAGGGTGTGGCTGGAGGAAGTGGGAATTGGGGGGCATGGCTTTGGCATGTAGAGATCTCCCTCTCTGCTTTCTGATCATCATGTGAGCTGCTTCCCTCTGCCACACACTCTGTCATGATGCTCAGCCTCAACTCAAGCCCCAAGGAATGGAGCCTGCTGTCCATGGGCTGAGACCTCTGAAACCATGAGCCCCCGAATAAACTTTTCATCTTCTGCAATTGTTCTTGCTGGATCTTTAAGTCACAGCAGCGAAAAAGCTGACTAAAATGCAACGTAATGCAGATGGTAAATGACATGCTGGGATTCAAACCCAGGCAGTCCGATTCCAAAGCAAGGCTCTGAACCACTCTGCCACAAAATCTCTTGAAAAATGAATAAATAACTGACAAAATTATATGGCATTTTAAAGACTCAACTGTAATAAAGAGAAATGAAAATGTAAAGGGGAAAAAATCCTTAAAAGAGAAATGTCACCAAAGAAAACTAAAAATGACAGAATTTTTTTTTAAAAAAACTGCAGTGTTAATAAAATTGAAAATTAATAAAAATACACCCCTCTAAAAATAATCAGTCAAGTAAATACAAAGGGGGAATATAATAATAGTGTTTAGATGTAACTGTAGGAAGTGGGAAATTCAAAATGTTTGAATCTTAAAGCCAGGAAATTATCTTATGGAAGTTGTCTTTTATTTTTATTAATTATTTTTCCAGGGGGAAAAAATCTCTTTTAAACTGCATATAAGAGATTGTATGTGAATACTCACTCAGTGGATGGATGTGGACATCAGAAAAGGGAAAGGAAAAGGAGAATAAGAGAATGATCCCTAGGTAGGAGGCATTCTCCAGCAGAGGCCACAATCTACTTGCAAAAAAGCTTTTACTAACCCATTCACATTACTCTTTTTTTAACTCATTCATGATGGTGTATATATGAACATGAAAATGCATTTTCCTGAGAGCCTATATTTTCTTTGTGGCATAGACTTCTAAGAGTAAGTTAAAAGATGCAATACTCTTTTCAAGAAGTCTACTTTTCAACAACTAGAAACAGAATCAATATGCTAAAAAACATAAGGCACCTCACTTTCCAATAACACTAGACACAAATCATAGGAGTCATCCTATGAAGGCTTCTGCATACTGAAAGCCTGAGGTATTTATAAATACTTTAGAAGGTCTATATCCATATCACTAAAGACCCATAGTGAACAAACATGGTTCCAGAAATTTAGTTTTTTCTCCAATTCTCTCCTCTAGTCAGTTCAGAAAACAACACAAATTTTAAGAAAATTGCCTAAGGAAAATGTATTGAAGGAGCAGGGCAGGGTGGCACATACCTGTAATCCCAGCAGCTGGGGGGGCTGAGACAGGAGGATGGCAAGTTTAAAGCCAGCCTCAGCAATGGCAAGGTGCTAAGCAACTCAGTGAGACCCTGTCTCTAAATAAATACAAACTAGGGCTAGGGATGTGGCTCAGTGGATGAGTGCCCCTGAATTCAATGAATGAATGGAAGGAAGGAAGGAAGGAAGGAAATGTAATGAAGGAAAATGAAGGAGGAATAAAGCTGATCTAAAGTCCCTCACCATTCTGTCTTCAAAAATATTCCAAAACCAATGTGATCTTTGGATCCATTCTGTCTAATTGTCCCTGCATATGACCTTGCCCTTCCATTCATAAAGACAGTACTCTTAATTTCAGGATAAATTTAGCAATGAAAGAAAAGATTAACATTCATACTAATTTAGTGGTCAAGATAACTGTAAAATTAGAAAGCTATTAATAAAGAAAGATAATAGTGAAAATCTTAAATTTAACAGTCACTTTTAAAGGAAATCCCATTCATGCATTCACTCAACAACTATTTTCTGGGAGCCTTCTGTTCATATTCTACAAGTGTAGCCACAAACTCACTCCCTTCCCCATGAAGGTTATGCTCTAGAGGGCAGGGCAGACAGAAGACAGACAAATATGTAACTTGTAAAGTGGATGTATATATTAGGGAGAAAGAGGAATTAGAAGAATGTGAATGACTCAACAAGAGGGTTGCTTTAGGTAAAACTGTCAGGTAGGGCCCTAAAATGGTGACATTTCAACAGAGACGTGAAACAGTGAGGTTAAACCACATGAATAACCTGGAAACAACATGAAAGGAAGAGTATGGAAAAGGCCAAAAAGAGGAGTATTTGAGGACACTAATTTTTTTTTACAATAAATCTATTCTTTTTTTAACTTAATTTTATTTATTTATATGTGGGACTGAGGATCGAACCCAGGGCCTTGCACGTGCAAGGCGAGCGCTCTACTGCTGAGCCATAACTCCAGCCCCAATAAATCTATTCTTGACTCATCAAATATCAGCTTTCTATTGGAAAGTATCTTCTTTAGTGCTATGATGATGCCATTAGTACAAAAACCGTTGTACTGAATTGTGCTGACTACAGAATAAATTTTCTTTTCTAATCTAAAATAATTCATTCTCCCATGAACTAAAAACATGAATTCTTCACTTCAAAGTTTAATAGACTAAAAAATAACTATATTTGCAAATGCATTCATGTTTATAAAAAACACTATATAAGATTATTCAAAATAGCTTCCTACCATACCTCACAGCTAATTTAATCAATGTACTTATGAATGTGGCAAAAACTTAAACCACATATTCTCTCTAGAGCACACACAACAAATTTTAAAAGTGTTATATCTATGCATTTCTCTAAAGTCACTTACTTTGTTCACATTAAAGTTTTTATTTTCTTAATATTCCTGTTGATATCTGTTTGTTAAAGTTGTATATCTTAAAATATCAACTATTCACATATATAGTATTAGTTAAAAAGACAGAAGTGTTTTAATGACAATATATAAGCAATTAAAAATGAAAGAACTAATCAATGACTGTTATTTGGGGGGAAAGGTAAAAATTTATTATGAAAAACATACCCATTGCTGAGCATAGTGGTGTAGGCTTGTAATCCCAGTAGTTCGGGAGGCTGAGGCAGAAGGATCGTGAGTTCAAAGCCAGCCTCAGGAATTTAGTGAGACCCTAAGCAACTCAATGAGACCCTGTCTCTAAATAAAATATTTTTTAAATGGGGAGGGAGGATTGGGGATGTGGCTCAGTGGTAAAGTGCCCCTGGGTTCAATCCCACTACCAAAAACAAAAAGTAAATATTCATAGGAAAACTATTCAGTAGAATTTTACAAATTTGATTTCTTTATATCTGGTTTCAAGTGTGTTCTTTCATGCTTCAAACTTCTAAAAGTAGGTAAAGTTAATTGCCCCAAATAGATTTGTATAAATCTATAACATTCTGCTTTAAGCCCTTCTCTGAAAGAAGTGTGTGTGTGTGTGTGTGTGTACGTTCTTTTCCTTTTAATAGGATTTTTTGTTCCACAATTCTGAAACAAAACTTACTGTGTGTATATTTAATATTTAATTCTCTGTAAGTTACTTATCCTAAATTAATCACAATTTGTATGCAATGGATTCATAGTAAGGAATAAATTGGTATATATTTTTAAAGTACACAAAAACCAATATAATTTTAAATACAAATTCAAATATTATAATTTAAGTCATTCTATATAGGCAGAATATATTTTAAATTACATTTTACCTGTATAATCCATAATGAATCAGTAAACAGGAACCCATGTATTTTCCAAAGTGCAACTCTATCAGCCACAAAATGAACTGGCTCCCTGGACAGGCAAACTACTCTGGGAACGCCTCCCACCATGTGACACCAAGCTTACCACATTTCTTATCTCCAGCAACCACTGTGGCTTTCCTCCTTTTGACTGTTCTTTCAAAGTCATCCTTAGAAAAAAGTCTGTTTCATTTGTTCCCATTTCATCCCTGTATTATAAGGTTAAAACACTAGGGGAAAAAAATTCTTGTAGTTATCTAAATTAAAAAGAAGGTATTCATGTGTCATCCCACTTTTCAGGGTTATGAAGCTACACAGCCTGAAGGAGTCAGTGTCCAAATTCTTAGTCAGAATTTTGTTGTTCTGTTCATTCATGAGTACAGAGGCATACTTGATTTATTTGAAATGCACTTGATTAAATTGAAAACAAATCTAATAAAGGTAATGAAAAAACAATTCCTTGAAGTCTACCTAAAACCTTAACCTCCAAGCCATATATCAAAGTCATGAAACAGATATCAGCTGGAAAGGACATGTGGTCATTATTGAACAGACTCTATGTGTTGTAATCTTCAATGTCACATTGCCAAATACCCAAAGCCATCTTTTGCTTCACTGCCAACTGTTCTGATCTTGAGTATGTCCCAGCTAAAACTTTAAATTAACAATGGCTACTTCATCTTGATACAACACTGCACCTCAACAAAGAATAAGATATAAATAAATAAAATGTTTCTCAATATTCCTTTTTTTTTCAAGCAACCTGAATGTTTGGACAATTTCCAAGTTAGAACTATTAAGCTACCAAATGGCAACTACATTGTAGAAGATATGGAACTGGCTGTTTGGAATGGTTCTGTTGGAGTAGTGGGGTGTTTTGTTCTGTTTTGCTTTTATTTTTGCTTTCCCTCCCACCAAATATGTTTCTCCAAAGGGTAATTATAAAGTTGACAGTACTTTAAAAATATGACTTCAAATCCAATATGATATCAAAAGCATGTTGTACAGAAATCTATAAATACTGAGCTAAATATTATTAACAGATTCCCTCCAATAATTTTGTCAGTCATCTAGTCATTGCTTCACTGCAACAGCAGAGCCCATCACACACCCACTCTGTGAAGTCAAAAGCTGTTAATTCTCCTCAATGTCTCCTGTCACTGCTGCTAAAAAGGCCCATCTCATTTTTTCTCTTTACCTTGCCTTGTGTATAAATCGGGAAGCTTTTTATGAGCTGATAAAGTTTATTCCTAGTAATTAAGGTGTGCAAATTGTTAAAAAATTAACATCATGATTGTTCTAAAACAGTAAGCTTAAAATACCTACAAATAACTATTTGAATTTCCACAAAGCTTACAAGTATGTGGAAGCATTGATTGCCATTATCAGATGTCACATGAAATGACATTTTGTGGCTTTTACAATTTAGTACTATTGGCATGGATTTTTAAAGTCCTTATCTAATTATTCAAGTAGTATTATTTTTAGTGATTTTATTCTTTTATATTCGATCATTCTTGTTTAAATCACAGATAGTTTAAGGAAATTCATATTATTAACAGCAAGAAAATAATGAAAAAAATCTGAGTTGGAAAGACAGATGGGGGCTGGGGATGTGGCTCAGTGGTAGACTGCTTACCTGGAAAGCATGAGGCCCTGGGTTCAATCCCCAGTCCAAAAAAAAAAGAGGAAAGACAGATGGGTAGATAGATATAAAACCTATAATACAACCTACTTACAGTGAAGTGATTTACCATAGTTCAGAAATCCAACAGAATGGTTAAAAGCCAGGTTTTGAGTCAGACAGAGAGGATTCCAATCTCACCTTAGACATTTATTATCTGTTAAGCAAGTTTTAAAATCTCTCTGAGCCTTAGTATACTCATAAGTTGACAAAGGGCCTCAATCAATGCCTGGAAATAATAACTATAATATGTAGATACAACTTTGTGTGCACCAGGAATTGTTCTAACTTATATATTAACTTATGTAACATTTACAATAGCCCCATAAAGTATATTCCCATTTTATAGATGAGAAAAGTAAGGAATAGAAAATCAGTAACTTAACTTGCCTATAGTCACACACTATAATTAACAGAGCCAGGATTCAACCCAAGTAGCCTAGCTCAAAGTCCTTGTGCTTAACCACTGTACAGCACTGCCTCTAGATGATCAATAAATGGAGTACATGATCAATAAATGGAAGCAAAAAAAGGAAAATCATTCAAAACTCTAGGTTCAATCTTCCCAGTAAAACTGACCTATAGCTTGCCAAATATTTCAATTCAAGTCTATAAAAATTATCTTTATGCTACTTTCAATTCTAACCTATGGAAAAATTAGAAAGGCAGAATAAAAGAAATAATGTTTAAAGTCACTATAATAGCTTAAAATGAGAGTTACATTAGCCACATAAGCAGAAATAAATACTCAGGGACAAAAAGTGATAACTATAAAAGGATCTATACTACTCACTGCACACCCAACAAATACCAAGTCCTTTTCTACTCAGTTCTCCAGATGTCACGGTAGATATTGCTGGCCTGGACACTATGAATACTTTGGGCAGGTTCATCTCACTAAAACTTCAAAGCTTGCTCAGAGAGCCTTCAACCAGAACCCCCTGATCATCTCCTCAAGGATCTTTTCTATTTCCATGTCACCCTCAGCAAATGTGACTTGCTAATGTGCCTAGATGCCTCCTCCCAATCACATCATAGTCCTCCCAAACTGTGTAACAATTTATTTAGTCAGAGGTTCTTCCCGAGTCACCATTTCTGGCTTATGGGCCAGGGGCCACTGTTGTAACTACAATTTACTGAGTCATCAAAGGTTATAATAAGTGCACACTACACCCCCTAAACCCCATCCCAGATTCCTACTACAATTTCAATCTTCGTGATCTAACAAGGAAGAGGTACCCTTATTGAATCAAGAGACCTGGGGTCTAACCAACACTGCTGTTCATTACCACTCTGGTCTGAGATAAGTCCTGTGTCTGTTCCTTCACTGGTGAGATGGGGAGGTTAAACAGGATGATCCCTAAAATCCAATCTAATTCTAATGAGCTAGAGTTCTACTTCAAACCCATTATAGCTGGATGAGAAAACTCAAGTAACTCCATTCCTACTTAGCTAGTCTGTACTGTCCCTTCTATATTGTTAGAGCTTTTGAAACAGTCGTCTCACAGGTGGGATATCACAATATCAGATGTATTGTGCTACTCCAGGGCACTTATGTTGAATGCTGAAGTTCACAGGAAACCGCTTCTTGTTCACAGACACACTGTTCCTTTCTAGACAGGTCCCAGGTAACTAAGCATGAGAATGAGTAGAAAAATACACACTCATAAAACACAACTAAAAATAGCTGTTGGAGGCCTTGCCTGCTGGCGGGTTCATGGCCTTGTGGATCACAGCTCTTAGGACCACGCAGCGTTGATGCCAGTAATGAAGTTTGTGATGGAGACCCTCCTTGCAGGACTTGAGACAGCCAGACAGGGAGTGCCCACCATTCTGTAGTGACAGCTCCAGGGCAGAGATACAGCTCTCCTCCCTTTGCCCTGCATGGCTTTCCTACCCGAAGTAGTTTCTGACACTTGAGTCCATGGCTCTTGACCCTACCCAGAGGAGGAGAAGAGCACAGCTCCCTTCTCACTCTTCCATCTTAGCTCTGAAAATTGTAAATTTACCATAATAACTTACATTCCCAGTCCATACAATAACTCACTTTGCTATTCAAGGTTTAAAAACCCCAGGGCTAAATTACAAAAGCTCACCCTGTTTTTTTCACATTTGAGAAATAATATGGGATTTCCTCTCTAGTCTTGATTCTCACTTTCATGAGCATGTTAGAGCTAAGCCAAATGCCTTAAGGGTATGCCTCATCCCACTTCCCTTTACCGATGAAATTAGAACAAACTTTATCTAAGACATCTCATCTTGCCTTTCTTCATCTTGCCTTTCTCCCAGGCTTCTTACCACCCACTCCAGCTTGATCTGGCCTCAGCATTTCCTTTCCACACTCTGTCATTCTTCATTGACCTTGCTTACTGCACCAGAGGCTATCCCAACCTGTGAGAAGGCACCACTGTAAAAAGGATTTTCTGCAAAAAGAAAATTCCTACAGAGTTAGCCCAACTCCTCCCATTAGTGAGCTCTACTGCCCATTACTCAAAAATTTAAGTTAAGACAGATGAACATCCAGCACCAACCAGATAACAAAACAGATCTATGATATGAGGAGGTAATTCAACTGCTCACCTCAATGCCATGACCCAGACCAGTGCTATCTGATCTCTATGCAAAGAACCAAGTCACAGACTCATCCTCAGCACACCAAGTTATACTGTAATATTATGTGCATGTATTAATATGTAACAACAAATCCCACTATTATATATAATAATGATTCACACACACAAAAAAAATCATCCCTAATGGGCACAAAATCACAGTTATAAGCAAAGGCACAAGTATTATCTGATAAAAGATCTGCTTTACCAAACACCAAATCTTCAGACAAGGGCTCTTTCTGGATGAACAACATCTATTTATTATGATTTTAAAACATGGTGGAAGAATCCAAGGCTGTCAGTGGTCACAAAGCACAAACCTTTATTATAAAGTAGCAAGGCAGGCCTCTCTTCCTTCATGGGCCTCAAGGGAACTGACACAAAGTAACCACAGCTGGAAGGAGTGGGAAGCAACTTTCATAAGAGGTAAAGTATAATATTCTAACCATTAATATTTTTACTGTATCAAAGATAATTATAAAAAGACATTATTTTAAGTATTTAAAGCTAACCATTAAAAAAACAACACACTATCTTAATGTAAAATTAGGAATTATGAGAAACATGACTAAAGTTACTAAAATGTCTTATAAAATATAAAAGATTAATATATTTTCTTCCTACTAATAGAAATGCAACAATAAATATGTTTACTCAGTCTATACTCTGACAGTAAAAGTCATATACATTTGAATCAATACTCTAGTGTGAATATAAGAGTCCAAATCCAGGTTTCTATAACCAACAGGGAGGTATGCAAGCCAGACAGATCCCTCTGTAGAAAAGCTTCTTGAGGCAAACCAAAGACCTTTCTGTATGCTCTTTGATCTGTTCGCCTGGTTGGCAAAAAGAACCACTGGAAAATAAGCAAAGGAAGTCATGAAAAATAATCATGAATGGACTACTGTGGGTGTCCCAGAGACAAAAACAGTGGAGAAATTCTTCAAGAAACATGGTAGTATCCAGCTAGAGTTCTAGGTAAGCAAAGAAGGTCACAGATTTCCATGATACTCCAAAACGTAAATTATTCTTGCTATTTTACAGGAATTGGAAAACTCTTTCTTCAAAGGGCCAAACTGTAAATATTTTATATTTTGTGGTGCCATCCAGTTTCTATCACAACTATCCAACTCTGCTATTTTAATCCAAAAGTAGCCATAAGCAATATATATGTGAATAAATATATAGAAATGTTCTAATAAAACTTTATAGTCTCCAAAACTGAATTTCTTATCATTTTCACATATCACAAAATATTATTCTCCTTTTGAATTTTCCTAACCATTTAAAACTATTTAGAAAACATTCCCAGCTTACAAACCATACAAAAACGAGCAGCCCATGAATAGTTTGCAAACTTCTGTTCTATCATTGTTACTGTAGTTGGTTTGAACTTTCTCTGAAAGAGTAATAATCTTCAATTAGATCTCTGCCATTGACTAGACTAACAAACTTAATGGATTCCATTAACTGATGGACCAGGACTGGTAACTCAAGAAAACTTACATTCCAAGTCCTTTCATTTCTTGTGATACTGTGAGAACACCTGGTCCTGACAGCCCACACTAACTTGTTCCTTCCCTATCTCACATTTACAGTATGAAACACAAGCAATAGTAAGTTTGGTATGAAAAAATAAAAAACTGTTTCTGTTCACTAACATGGGTGAAAAAGAATTCTTGAGAAGTAAGAAATTAAAGATCGGGCTGGAGATATAGCTCAGTTGGTAGAATGCTTGCCTCATATGTACAAGGTCCTGGGTTCAATCCCCAGCACCACAAAAATAGAAAGAAATTAAAGATTACATCCTAAATGCACAGTTAACTACTTGGTAGGTGTTTCAGGACAGAACCTCATTTATGAAATTATAAAGTTTAGATTATTTCTGAGGTATAGTCCTAAAATACAACAATTTGGTAATGAGCTACACTGATCTTGATATCAGACCCAGCTCATTGGAGGGTTTCAGCATATTTCTACCAAAGTTCACGTGGATGACAGTTTCACTTATCATTATACTTCAGATAAGAGGCAGATAATTTCCTCTTTGTTCTTCCATCTTTAACCTTTTGAAAGGCCATTGAAAAATCTCTTTCTGACCAGGACAACTACTATTTTCTTAGAAATAACCCAGCCTTAACATAGTAAAGTATAATACTTGGTGAATGTTTTTAGAGACAGATATTTGTGCCTGCCAAATGGCAGCAGCTTCCCTACAACAAAAACAAAAAGTCAAGTCTTTCACTTTCACCAAAATTTGTCTTCAGAACTGCTTCATTTTTCCACAATAATCACACTCTTGACCTATATAAACCACACTGCATATGTCTGATTCTAGAATCAAACAGTCCTGGACTTCGTCCCTGGTGCTGTTCCATATCAATTGAAAATTATTCTCCTTTCAGCCTCAGTTTCTCCATCTGTAGAACAGGGATGCTACATTTGGTATAGGTTGAGCATCCATAATCTAAAAATTTGAAATCTGCAATGCTTGAAAATTCAAAGCATTTTTAGAGTACAAATGACACTCTGGAATGGAAAATTTTACACCTGGACTCATGAAAGTCAAAATGCAGGTGTA